GCTTGCCTGTTGCCATTCATAGTATGAACTCCACGAGGGCAGAGATTCTGTCCATTTTCTTCACTATTGTATCCAGTACTGAGCACAGTGTTTGACATATAGTTGGCACTCAGAACATATTTGATGAATGAGAAATTTAATCTGACTTTCTCAGTTGATCCATGAAGAAACTGAGGCTTAGAAGAAGCAAGTGTATTTTTGAAGTCACACAGCTGGTCATTAACAAAACCAGCACAAAAACAATAAAAACCAAATTCTTGACTCTCAAAAAGTGTTAGAGTATGTGTGTGTGTGTGTGTGTGTGTGTGTGTGTGTGCGTGTGTAACAAATCATAACCTAAGACTTCCTTTACTATTGTCCCTGTATGGGCTTCTGCTATTAATAACAATAATTACTTATTTGTAATTACTTATTTGTGTTATACTTTATCACTTACGATCCACTTCGATATACAATAATCTCTATGGAAATTTACCTAGAATTAGTGTCTTTATGTTTCCTTTTATAAGCTCAGAGAAAAATGGCAAATGTAGCCCACAAGTCTGTGGAGTTTCTTTATTAACGGATCAAAAGATCACTGAAAAAGCAAAAAGATAGAGAAAGTAAGATTTCCCATAAGAACAGCTGTCAAAGAACCAATTTAGTGGAGTGGACAGCTCCTTGGCCAGAAAAGAGCCTTCTGGCGGTGGTTAACTGTATTTGTGGAGGCTATCAGAAGCAACCCAAGGCTCTAACATGGATTTTGCAAAAGTAGTTCCTAGTTTATTTTAGTTATCATTACTGGACTTACATTTAGTTCAATGGACAGTTCTGCCTAATTAAAAAATCTTCTTCTGTGGCTAAATTTTGCTCATCACTCACAGTTTAAAATTTAGCCATTTCTAGCTCTTAATTGTCATACCAGGAATGAACCGCAACATTGAACTTGGTACTTTCTGACCCTCGTGCCCACTTAATTTGAAATATGCTTTCTCTGGAGCCAGCAACGTTCATCACAGACACGCTGAATCTGTTTTCTTATCCTATAAATAAAAGGCAGTACAGGAGAGATGCTTCCAATGGTTGATTGGAAGTGTGGTTGATGGAGAATCCATTTTTCTAGGGTATGTTTAAATCATAGGCTATAGACAAAAAAGGAACCTAAAACCAGCCAGACCAGCCTGCTCCCAATACAGGAGCCCTATGCAGTATCCTCATATGGGGTCACTCATGTATTCTTTTTTTTTTTTTGTTAAATTTTCCGGACCTTAAATTTTTTCTTTTATTTTTTAAATTATTCTTTTAAGCTTGCATTTCGTTGTTTTTAGGACCATTTCCCATTCCTTTTCCGGGTTTTTTCATCATCCCAAACAGAAACTCTGCACCCATTAAATAAAAACTCCCCCTTCCCCTCGAGCCCCAGTCCCAGATAACTACTATTCTGTTTTCTGTTTCTATGAATTTGCCTATTCTAGGATTCTCATATAAATGGAATTATGTGCTATTTGTTCTTTTGTGTGTGGTTTATTTCACTGAGAGTAATGTTTTCAAGGTTCATCCATATTGCACTATGTATCAGAACTTTATTCCTTTTTGTGGAGAAATAAAATTCCATGGTATGTATATGCCACATTCTATTTATTCACTTATCTATTAATGGACACTTGGATTGTGTCCACCTTTGGGCCATTGTGAATAACGCTGCCGTAGAACATGAGTATACAAGCATCTGTTTGTAACCCTGTTTTTAGTTCTTTTGGTTATATACGTAGGATTGAATTGCTAGATCATATGGTCGTTCTATATTTAACCTTTTGAGAAATCACCAAACTCTTTTCCATAGCGGCTGTACCATTTTACATTCCCACCAGCAAAGGACAAGAGTTCCAGTTTTCCCACGTTCATGCCAATACTTTTTGTTCTCTTTTGTTTGTTTTATTTTGTTTTAATAATACTGTGTTTCCTTGAAAATAAGACAGAGTCTTATATTTATTTTTCCTCAAGAAGACACCCTAGGGCTTATTTTCAGGGGATGTGTTACTTTCCCCTCAAAGCCTCAGCTTGCAGCATGCACAGGATGGCCGGGACCTGACAGGGGGAGACGACCTCGTTGGTGGAGCTGCCCGAACCTTTGCAGTCACCTCTGGGATAGTAGCTGTCACCATGGGGCAGATGAGAAGGGCTGCTGGTCTTCTTTACTGCTCCATGATGAAATGCATGGGTTGTGCAGATGTGCTGCGTAGCCACTCCCATCACTAGGTCTTATTTTCAGGATAGGACTTATATTGCACAAATGCTTAGAAATCCTGCTAGGGCTTATTATATGGGTAGGTATTATTTTGGGGGAAACACGGTAGCCATCCTGATGGATGCAAAGTTGTATTTTATTGTCATCCAGGTATTCTTAAATACTTCCTGTGCCGGGGAGCCCAAAACAACGCCAGAATGCTGTTGCAGATCTTCTTTAGTTGTTAGAAGGTTCTTATTATGCAGTACTAAATCTTGCCTCCCTCTGGCAGTAATTTTCAACCTTGGTTGCAAATCAAAATCACTTGGGAACTTAAAAAAATTCCGATATTTAAGCTGCAACCCAGATCAATCAAATCAGCATGTCTGAGGGCAGAGACCCGGCATTAGTATTTTGAAAGACTCCTCAGGCAATTTCAATATGTAGCTGAGGCTGGGGGCCACTGCTTAAAGCCTACTGGCTAGTCCTACTGAGTCACACAACCTGTGCAACATAAGGTGTAATAACCTGATCACTGAGCCTTCTCTGACATCCCAATTAAATAGCCAGCCCTCCTCCCAGCCACTGGCAGGCCAGTCCTCCTTACCTTTGTGGATTTTTTGCCATAGAGTGTATTACCAGCTGACACCTTACATATTTTCTTCTGTCCCTATTTATTATCTGCTCTCTGTTTTGCTGATTTCTGTTTCCCTGGGACATACAACATAGGAGGTGTTCAGAGTGCTTGGAAAACATTGAATGAATACATACATAAATATACTCTTATTTCAAATTGCAACCCTTCAGATAGTTAAAAATAGCTTTTGTGTCTCATCCCTGGACCTTCTCTTCTCTAGGTAAAAATCTCCTCTTTGTTTTTGACCAGTCTTCAGAGATATTGAATAATAAACCTTACCATCATGAGCACAATATGTCTCTCTTTTACTCAATCAGCAAATAATCGAGCATTTACTATTTATTACATATTGCTATATGCTACACATCCTGTAGACTAGACACTGTGCCAGGCACTGGGAATTATGAAAAAGATAATCAAAGTCAACTTGTGGGGGGGGATCACAGACAATAATTAATACAAAAGTGATTTCAGATAACAATAAATGCTATAAAGAAAATGAAAAATGTTTGCTTGCCGTGGCACATTATATGAATGCTAAATTTAATCAGAGACCTCAATGACAAGAAGAATCCAGCCACTGAAGGAACATTCCAGAAAGAAGGCGCATCAACTACAAAGGCCCTGAGAGGGGACAAGTTTTAGAGGGGCTTTGAGTCAGAGCCTCTGTAAAGACAAAGAAAAGAACCATTATCAGGCATTTTTACCTCAATTAATGTAGCCTAAGGACAAATTAATATTTGGTGGCTTCATCACCCTATTGAGATATTTTTCCTCATTGAATTAAATCTTCCCTGTCCAATGTGTGTACTGTTGATAGTATTAACTTAAGTGTGGAAGGGTGATTTAGACGAACACACCTGGAGTTCTCTTTTCATCTGAACCCCATCCCTAAACGTTTCAATCAATCAATCTATAAAACACTTCTGAGCAGATTACAAAGACTTGCTCATTCTCCAACCACTCTAAGACTGGTTCCTTATTCCAACTGGTACCTTGTATTCTGTGCTAGCCGAATGGAAGAAATTTTGGACAAGGCCAAGGCCAGGATTGGCAGGCTGCTGCCATTTGGGGCCAGTAGCCATCTTGGTTTTCAGTCAGAGACACTCGAGAAGGACAGCTAATTCTTCTTGAGTCTTGGCACTCCATGTTCTCAGTCGTGGTCTCACAGGAGCCTCTCCCAGCAGCATCTCCTAGACCAGTCACTAACATGCTCTGACAACTCAGGTCCCCTTTATGGGCTCTAGTTTTCCCATACTGAAATGTGGGGTTTGCCTTTGGGAGTTTTAAGATCCTTTGAAAGTTTGTTTTTTAAAGAACACTTTATTACACTATAAAAAAAAGAAAAAAAATTTCCTACAGCTTCTGAATAACCTGCAGATGTTATGCTGCCATTGATAGAGGACCTTCACTTCCAAGTTAATAAAACAAAATGTTGAGTGTACACGGGGAAGGCAACATTTGTAGAATCAAGTCAGATGCTGAAATTGACAGGTACACAAATTTGAACTGTTGAAAGCATGACGTGTGGTGGGCACCAAAAGAAATGTGGTTCAGGCCAGTGAGAGGAGTCACTGAGCTTCTTGATTGGCCGGTATCTTTCCCATGGACTTCACAAACTGGGATCAGTTTGCCCAGGTGAACTGATGGAAGAATAACCTTCAAGCCATGATCTTGTCTTCCTGGGGCAGCATACCTGTAAACAGCAGCTTCCACCTGTGCTGGAATGGGACACTGAAGGCAGGATGGCATGGCCTTTGCCTTTGTGCAAACCCTGGTTCAGGTTACTGTCATTTATTCATCCAGTGTTTACAATCTAGTTGGGTACATGCACAAAACAGGAGTCAACCCAATCTCTGAGTACAAACTGATCTAAGTGCTCTGAAGGAAAGCCACAGGTACTCAGATGGAGGACAACTGTGCCATCCCAGGCTGGTTAATTCACCTTTCTCAGCCTCTTCCTCCTTATTGTGTAGGAGCTAACCAGGGTAACACCCCAAGTGAGGAGTTCAGATCTTGGTGCACAGTAAATGTGTGTCGCACCTGCTGATGTTGAAGTTACCCTCCTGAAGGTCAAGAAGGAGAAGATGAATTTTCTTTCCTGTGTCCCTGAGTATCCTTCAACTCTCTGTGCTTGTGTGTGTGCATGTCTTCCAGTTCCAAGGAGGGTTTCGGGTCAGTGGAGAAGGTTGTGCTGCTCACGTTTCTCTCGGCGGTTATCCTGATGGCCATCCTGGGGAACCTGCTGGTGATGGTGGCCGTGTGCAGGGACAGGCAGCTCAGGTGAGCACCACGGGGGACCCTGTTGAGACAACATGGGCGGAATTCCAGGCTCTCCCAGAAGAGCTGAATCTGAACGTTTCATTATAATTGGTAATTAAGCAGGAAAACATTCATGGGAAGAGTATTTGAAAAATAGAGGAGGGAAAAAGGGATCACACATAATCTTGCAACTCTCACCTAACCAGTGCAAGCACTCAGTCTATGTCCATCCTGTCTTTTTTCTTCAATGTTGTATTTGTTTTATTAATAGTAGTGATCACTGTATATACAATTGTGGAGACTATCTAACCTCTCTGTTTCATCAGTGGTTCAGGGAAGGGATGGCTGACAAGAGACTGAACTAGAAATTAAACCTGGGTCTTCTGCTCTTTCTATTTCATCAGTCTCAACACTGACTACAATCAGAATCATCTGCAGCACTTTAAAAAGTACCACTCTGTAGTATCAGTGTGTTCCATGCAATATTTTGGACACTTATACCAAAAAGAGACTATTCTTCGTTAAAATCCAAACTTAATCAGGCAACCTATATTTTATCTGGCAATCTTTGAGGAGCAGGATGTTAATCCTCCAGGGTTCCTGAACGAATTGATCTAGGGTGAGACCTGGGCGTCCATATTTATTAAAATTCACCAGGTGATTCTAGTGTGCAGCCTGGGACGAGAGCCCCTGGGTTGTAAAAGGGGATAAAAGGAAGCTGTTCCTCTCTGAGCATGCCCTAATTCAATGCCGATGCAAATTAAATATAAAAGTGCAATTCTGACCAACGTCACAAAGGTGAGGCACACAGTAGTCAGTCTAAGAGTGGAAAACAGTGACATGTGACTGCTGTTTGTGAGGGGAGCCCCTTGGCAGGTTTCCCTGAGAATGCCCAAAGACGGACCAGCGGTTGGAGGAGAGAGCGCATGCGCGAAGGCACTGGGAAGAGGGGCGGGGAGCTGTGTGCTCAGGGAACTCAGATCAGGCCGGGGTGGCCAGAAGGGAGAGGGAGAGAGGGGTTTGGGTATAAGCTGGGGCTGGAGAGGTCAGAAGAGGCCGGACCACGCAAGGCCTTCTCAGCCACATTACAGAAGGGGAAACTGAATCCCGCAGAATGCGCCAAACGTGTGACTTTTCTTTCCTTTTCCTCCCTCCCTTCTTTCCTTCTTGTTCTGCTTCCATTTCCCCTGTTTCCTCCCTTGCTCTCTTCTCCCTCTCTCCCCCCGCCTCCTCTCTTACACCTTTTCACTCACAGGAAAATAAAAACCAATTATTTCATTGTATCTCTTGCTTTTGCGGATCTGCTGGTTTCCGTGCTGGTGATGCCCTTTGGTGCCATTGAGCTGGTTCAAGACATCTGGATTTACGGGGAGATGTTCTGCCTGGTCCGGACATCTCTAGACGTCTTGCTTACCACGGCATCGATTTTTCACCTGTGCTGCATTTCCCTGGATAGGTAAGGAGGGCGCATGGTGAGCTCCGTGCTGGAGACCGTGACCCGGTGGATTTGGTGCAGTGTCTTTCTTTCTTCTCCCATTCATTAGATGAAATGAATCTCAGAGAGGTAAATTTGATAATTTAGTTATTCATTCACCGCCCCCCCACACACCCTTTTTAGTCAGGCCCCTCTCTAAGGCACTGTAGAAATAGGTTAGAAAGACCTACAACCTGCCTGCCAGGAGCTTACAATCTAAATAGCTATAGGTACCAACAATCAAGTTTACGGCAGAGCTCTAAATTTTGTACTGATGGCATGAACACAATCCTGAGGGAGCTAAGTGGCAAGAATTATTATCTCTGCCCAGAGGGCAGCAAGGATGGTTCAGAATGATAGTGCCTTACGTTTGAACATGACCTTTTCCTGAAAATATGCCTAGTTAATAATTCTGTATACATGGTTAGGTATGTGCATGTCATTGTGGAGATTCCTTTCCAGAAAGTTACAGATGACAATGAAGTTTCCAATAATCGCATGGTTTTGGGACTCTGGTCTAGAATTTCATTCTTGTTGCATGATTTTACTCTTTTTCTTTCTTTTTGACTTCACGATGTTTAATGATTTCCATCTTTGCCTCATTTGTTGGAGATGTATGTTTATCACTTGTATCAGCACCTTTCATTTTTCCAATTCCCACTCATTTGTATTCAATAATAAAGGAAGAATGCAATTTAAAAGTCAGATGACTACACAAACATATGCTGCTGTCAGTGTAGTCGTATCTAGGGGATGGTTACTGCGTATGGTGCTGATTACATGTTATTAATATCAGAATTAGCAGGGATGATCTCTTACTGTCTCTTTAGCAGTGCAACAGACCCACAATTTCCTCTAGTCTTGGGATAGATCATTGTTTCTTTAACTGACAACTGGGAAAAGTAGTTGAGTGAAATTAGAGATTGTGGTATCAATATATCTAAAATATATACCTTTAAACGCTAAAATCATAGACTTCCCGGAGAACCACTCACACTGGGAGAGGTGCTTACAAACTGAAACCAGTTCATAGGACAGTGGGTTCATCTCTCCTCCTAGCTTTTGAGACACACGTGCATTGATTAGAATGGCAGGTGTAATGGCCTCCTCTGTTTAAATAGCTCTTTCTCTTTCACTTTGCCAAGAACATATAGCTGAATGTGCTTAAATTAAATGCATGTATAATGAGGCTGCATTATACAGCTAGAGATCATGACACTGGGAAAATCTAACTGTTGGCCCTCAGCCATACCCATCACATGTGATAGTTTGAAATTTGTGTTTATTAGCTTGTTTACGATAATCTGACCAGCACATGAAAGACATTTTAAGACAGTTTGTATACACTGTAGGAAAGTTCACATTATAGGAAATAAAATTTAAGGAAGTTGAAAATCTATGGAAATCATGTTGGGTAACCTGAATGTGAGTGTTGCCAAAATGAATGGTGAGACGGCGAGTATTACAGGAAGTTGGAGAAGGCAAGGCTGGGGACACAGGGCAGCCGGAGGTAACCTTGAGGTCAGGGTAAAAGCAAAGGGAAGAAAAGCCAGGTAGGAGTAAAGAGTGGGGGAAGGTGCAGAGTCACCTGTCTAGTATGGAGAGTTTACTCTGGGCAGCCCTGAGAGAAGGTCTGCAGTTTGCCTAGGAAGGCTTGGCCTCAGAATTCTAGATTTGTGCTCACAGTCTTGTGACACCAGGAAACTTTCCCTGAGTAGGCCTGAGTTGTCATGAAGCAGGATGAGTGGGTCATTAAGAACCCTTGCTCTAAAACTGAAGAGACTTGGGTTTAAATCCCAGCTCTTCCAACCTTTAGCTATAAAAATGGTAATAAGTTACTACCAAGCCTTTCTGAGTTTGAGTTTTGAGTTTTCTTGTCTCTAAAAATGGGGAAGATTGGCCAGGCGTGGTGGCTCACACCTGTAATCCTAGCACTCTGGGAGGCTGGGGCGGGAGGATTGCTCAAGGTCAGGAGTTCAAGACCAGCCTGAGCAAGAGTGAGACCCCGTCTCTACTAAAAATAGAAAGAAAATTAATTGGCCAACTAATATATACACAAAATAATTATCCAGGCATGGTGGTATATACCTGTGGTCCCAGCTACTCAGGATGCTGAGGCAGGAGGATCGCTTGAGCCCAGGAGTTTGAGGTTGCTGTGAACTAGGCTGATGCCACGGCACTCAAGCCCAGGCAACAGAGTGACACTCTGTCTCAAAAAAAAAAAAAATGGGGAAGAACACACCTATTTTAGAAGATTGCAATTAAGCATACATTACATAATCCATTTAAGGCATTGTTTTGGCCCAGGTTCACCCAGCATTCCATGTTAGTGGATGTTATAGTGGATGTTATTGTCAATTTCATTTTGTCTTAACTATCCATATCTATAATCTTCCCAAACTTGGACTTCCTCAGTGAGTAGCTGCTCCAGTGGCTTCATCATCCAGAAACCTAGTAGTTATTCTTAACATAGTCTTTCTTATCCCTGACATTTAAATGACAAGTTTTATTGATTTTCCTTCCTAAATAGATCTAGTCTGTTTCGCTCCATCTCTATCATCGTAGTCTAAACTAATATCATCTTTATAAAGTTGCATAAATCACTGCAACATCCTCCTAGATGTTCTTTCCAAATCTGTTTTATCCCTCTCCAACCCATTTGCCATTCACAAGGTCAAATAGCCAGTTTGTAAAAGTGCTGCCCTGATCCTAAAGATCCTTTGCTTAACATCCTTCAGTGGCTATTCAATGCACTGAGGGTGAAGACCAGACCCTTGGAGGGTTTTTCACAGTCTGCTTTCACATCTACATCCTCTACTTCGTTGCATGCCCTTCCCAGACTCCTAGCCCTCGGCTACTTTCTCTTTGTCTAGTACTCTGTGCTCAGCAACCTCAGAGCCTTGGCTCCTCCCTCTGCCTGGAAAGTTCCTCTGCCACCTCCTCTGTGTATCAACCCTTTCTTCCTTGCAGAAGTCTCCTCTGACCCCATCAAACCCATTTTTCTCCTTTGTAGAACTCATTGCAACTGTGATTGAAATCAACGCTGTGATTTCTTCTTAATGTCTCTTCCCCAGTGGGAGAAAGCTCAAGGCTATGCACAAGGACAAGGTGCATAGCCTCCCTTGGGGAACTTGCATTTTAATGGGGAGACTGACAGTCAACCAGTAATTGCATAAATGCTTATTTAAGTATCAGATGGTTTTGTTTGGTTCTGTTTTCCTCTGGAAGCTTGGGCGACTTGCCTCCAGCTTGTCTCCAGCTTTCTCTGTCACAAAAGTGACATTCTCGTTGGGCTGGATGATCCATCCTGAATACTGCAGAGCAACACCTTAGCCTGGAAATGTAAGGTTTTATTTATCATCTAGCTTCTATTTTTGCTGTGTCCTTCCCAGCCTGACAGTTGAGCTCAGCCAGGATGGGCCAAAGCACAGAGTGAGTGTCTCAGCCAGGTGCGATGTCATCGCTAGCCATGTGATTCCTGGCAAGATGCCTGTCCTCCCTAGAGCTGCCACGTGAGTCTTCTGGGATGACTGATACAGGCTAGAGCCTTTTGAGTAAGAACGCTCACTCCGATTCCCAATTCCCCCCAGATGGTAGACTCCTGGATCAAACTGAAATGCAGAACTCCTTTAATATTACAAATTGCATTTTCCCAACTACCATTCTCAGCTCACTGTGCTTCCTGGTGCCTTGGGAATTGAATTCTGTTAATAAAAGTTTAATGCCTCCTTAAAAATAATTTCCAAAGCACAATGAAAATAAATGCATTATATAGTATGGGTTATGGGAGATCCAAACTGCATTAAAAGCGTTACAGTATAGTTTTTTTGTTTTGTTTTGTTTTGTTTTTTTAATAAAGTTCTATGGTGAATGAAAACCAACTGAGTAACCATAACGGAGTACTGGTTTTTAAAGTGGCATCAAATGTAGCAATTAAAAATTATGAGAAGTAGCTATGTGTTTTGAAAATATCACTGGTGTATTAGGTGGGGAAAAAAGCAAGTTGCAGATTTTTATGTTTAGCATAATTTCGCTTTTGTGAAATAAATATACGGATGTATGTATCTGGATATACGTGAGTTTCTGGGGGAGACAGAGAAAGATTGAGAATAAAAAAGAAAAAACACAAATGAATTTTTACCAAACCATGAACAGTTGGTCATGTAGGGGACACAGATCATAATGCAGCCCAGACCGATGGTCAGTTGGGTTGGTCGAGAGCCTTCGCATTTACCAATTTCTGAAATGTACATTTTGAACTTAAATTTTCCCTTTGCTGGGAGACAACCACCTCAAATGCAGATCTATCCACAACAGCCTTTTAGCTGAAAATGTCCCTGGGACGGCACATTCCTCAACTTGCTAAAAACATTCTGCTTCAGTGCGGGGAGTTCCCTGTGAAGTCAGAGCAAGGTGGGGAGCGTGGAAATCTTTCTGACCAGTATGTTCTCTCTGCTTTTTCACAAAATACCTCCAATTCTCCTTCTAAAGGAGCCCTCGTGGCAAATTGCTTCTCACATTGGTCTTGGTTAACCTCATCCCAGTTCACCGCCTTGTGATTGATCTAGTCCAACAGTTTATTTTCCAATCAGCACAGATTTAAAAAAAAAAATCATGACAATAATACCTGAGCATTTAAAAAAAAATGCCATCAGTTCACAAGGAAAACATAAAAATGCCCTGAATTCTCCCTTTCCGCCTCCACAGCTGCATGCCCTTACGTAACCACTATAAATAATAAGCCCCTGCAAATTCCAGTCATGTCATGTGTAATAGGCACACTCATGTAAATATATTTTGAATTTATGTTTTAAATAGCCTTTGAAGAAGGTGTTTACTGCGTATATGCTGATGAATTGCCTGAGTGTGATGTTCTTACCAAGTTGTGTATTGAACGAAGCGTTAGTCGGGTCTCTTTCAGCAGCCTGTGACAGAAAATAAATTGATTAGTTCAATTAACTGAAAAGTCTGCCTTCAGACTT